TTTTATAAAATATTAAAAATATTGTTCGAATATAGGTATAGATAGGATATAATTAAAATCCACTAATATAGGCCATGGACATTTTTTTAATAAAATAAGGGTGACAAGCGAGCACACAGTCCACCTGCCAGTAAGTGGATGCTGTGGCCCATAAACATGTAATTTATCCTCGATTAAGAATCAAAATGCAGATGCGTTTGTCACCCCTGAGGACTGAGATGGAATGCCTCGTTTCCAGTAAAAAGGGTCTCCTGTTCTCTACACTCACCACAGCACACTCACACAGCAGCATTAAGCTGCCATTTTACGGTGGTATTCTGTGAGAGCGTGGTCCTACCCCGGTCGAGCCAACCTATTCATGCTACAACCATAATATCGCTGCATCATGGCTCTACCACGTATAAATAATCATAGGGGTGATCCTGTCATCAGTGGCAGGTGGGTTGGCATACGCAATGTTTTCATGATTTTAACTCATTGTTTGGAAAATGCCGCTGACCATCTCCTATTTCCGTTTACACCACCATTTACAACGCCCACGGGATGATATGGGTAGAGATTACGCTGCTACTACACGGTTACAAACGTGACCATCCACAGATGGACATAGTTCATTCCCATTATAGATAAGATTTGCCTTGAACGGCACGCTTGGCATCTTTTCACTCGACATCATAAAAAATATGTGCGTGGTATGTAATATGTAATATCGTACCTGCATGTGGTCATTTTTATTTAAACTATCTTTTATTTTTTTGCCTGCACAAGGAATATTCTTTATATTGTGAAAGCATTTCCGTAAATACATTATACAAGGATAAACATCTAGATCCGGAACATTTAATTTATAAACTCTACCATTTTTATTAAAAAAAAATTTAACTAAAAAAATCTCTAGCAACCATTTATTTACAAAAATATATCAATGCTACCAATCTTAACTTTAAAATTTTTCTTGTATTGTGTTTTACATACATAGATGATATATGAACAAAAATTCAGACACTGATCAATTATTTGTAGACCATGCAACTATGTAAGTAGTTTTACCGCGCGGGAGTCGAAACTGTAGCCCTCAACACCGCAGCCAAACGAATAGCCACTCACTGCACTGCCAAGCGGTTCCTTGATGACCATCATAACTTGTAATAACATTACGTTGCGGCATAAATTATAACGGTCAACAACAATCACTTGTTACATAGACAAATTCAAGAGAAAATACAATGTAGGTAAGATATAAGGAATTTTTTATTGTTATATGGAAATTTTTATGGTACATGTTCGCTTCAAGTTTAAGTGTTCAAGTTTCCAGTGACTAGGTGGAAGGATAGGTTATTATAATTATTAAAAATTGTAACTTAGAGCATAAGCATCACGCACTTGTCATAAATTTTATTGGAAGCAAACGCCTCGGATTCAATTTCCGGCAGCAACAATGAAATTGTCAATTGCAATTTTAAGTGCTGTTTTTTATAGAATAATGGTGCCATAGCTATCTACATCTATTCTCGATTAAGAATCAGAATGCAAATGCGTTGTCAATCTTTAATACTATAATGAAATGTCTCGTTACCATATACGAAACACAGCATTAAGCAGCTATGTTAGCTACTTGGTAGAGCCATGCTGCGGCTATATTAGTGGTATAGTTGTAGCACGAATGGGTCGGCTCGATCGGGGAAGGAGGACCACGCTCTCACAGAATACCAGCGTAAAATGGCAGCTTAATGCTGCTGTGTTTCGTATGGTGAGTGTAGAGAACCGGAGACCCTTTTTACTGGAAACGAGGCATTCCATCTTAGTCCTCACGGGTGACAACGTATCTGCATTTAATTCGTAATCGAGGAGAGATGTAGATGTCTATGGGCCACAGCAACCACTTACCATCAGGTGCTGTGTGCTCGATTGTCACCCTATCATATAAAAAAAAAGCAATTTCACGATAGCATTCTGTGAGAGTGCCTTACACTCTTCGAGCCAACCATTCTTGCCACAACCACAGAATAGATAACAGTACAAGTACTACAACTATAATAAAGCTACAGCGTGGCTCTACCACGTAAAGACATGTTATATGACATGCTCGGCGGTGAAATAAAATATCGTAAGGAAACCAGCCATGGAAGCGTAATTATTGAACATCAGAAATATGTAACTAAACGCTCCTCAACTTTTACAGAACTAATAACAATATTTCGAAATATAAGTATTCTTACGAAGTATAAGACAAAGGAACACATTTGTATTGCAAAAAAAAAAAGGGAACACTGTCACTTGGAGCTACGTGCAAATCATTAAAGGCATTTAACAAACTAAATATACAACAATAAGCCTTATCAGTAAAGTAATAAAGCTCTATTGTAACGCACGCTCACAGGTTATGTAAATGTCTCACATACGGCCAACTTCAAAGACGGCGGCAATTTCCCTAGAAATCTATTTATTACTTGGTCAAAGCTATATACCCTTTGTGTCAGCTTGCGAATAAAGCAAAGGTTATTTTTAAAAGAGTAACAAACTGAAAACAAACAATTATCTATTATCAGTGAAATCATTGTCGGGCGTCTAGCGCCTTGTTTGTCTCGTATGAACCGCGTGACCCTTTTTCTGGAATCTCATTGTAAGGTGTTGTAAAATTATTGTAAAACCCGTCTGGTGTTCTTGCGAAATTATGTAGTATTGTTGTTCGTAATGTACATTTACTTCCGCAAAGTGTATAGTAAAAAAAATAGAAATACTTAAAATTTCTAAACGTTTTATATAAAGCGCCACCCGAAAGAAAATCTACCATATTAATTTTACCACGTGCTCATCGGTTAAGGAAAACATCGTGAGAAAACCGGCAAGTCTGAAAAATCTATACAAAGAAATAAAATTGAAGTGTCTGTTTGTAATGTCAAAATAACAGTGTTTAACGAAATACATATGAAAGTAGGTATATGGCGGTACTTATAACAAAAACACAATTTTTAAAATGTTTGTCTGTCTGTCTGTATGTTCCGGCTAATCTCCGAAACAGCTGTACTGATTTTGACGGGACTTTCACTGGCAGATAGCTGATGTTATAAGTAGCTTAGGCTACTTTTATTTTAGAAAAAGAATTTGAGTTCCGCGCAAAAAAAGCCATGATAATAATAAGTAATAAATAACAAGCGGGCGAAGACGCGGGGAAGAGATAGTAACATGTGAAGACATGTGAAGTCCGCCAACACGCATTGGGGACAGACCGTCAGTCACTTCCTTGCCCTAAAACCTTCTCAGAAATAAGAGGAGGTCTGTGCCCAGCAGTGGGACGTATATAAGCTGTAACTTTAATTTACTTTTATTATTTCAATACAAACCATTACCGTGTAGCCACTTCAGAGAATCAATCTCTCCGTTTTGTCGGGTAGCTAAGATAAACTAGAAAAATCTTATGGATGCTAGTAGAATAACTATCTTTTTAAAAGCCAGCCCTAAAAACATTCTCTTCAGACCAGCGACGGTGAGCAACGTTGAAATAGATACCTGCTTACTTCAATCATCTGTGATCAGAATCTGTCGTTCCTTAAGAAATTAAAAAAAAAACATTTAAATTTTTTTAAATTTAGAATATGTTAACCTTTGAAGAGATTGTCACTTTAAGTAATCGATCTTTCTGTACGTTTTGATTTTAAAACTAAGACATTTATTTTATAGAGTACGTGAGGGTAATATGGCCTTCCGGTTAATATGGTCACTTTCTTATAACTCAAAAACTACAGCCTAATTTGCATAGATGGCTTTGCGATACGATAGCTCTTCATCAGTCATTCAAATAATAAAGGGTCAAAAGGCCGCCGCTTTATCGACGCCATCTTGACAGTTGATATTATAGTAAGTAGGTACGTGAGGGTAATATAGTCACCTAAAGCTAGCATAGAAAAATAGCAAACAAGCTTTGGAAATATTAGGAGCACTTCGAAAAATCTACTTAAAAAAACTAACTACAACAGACAATACAAAAATCGACAAAAATATTTGCAATAATATCAACTATCAAAATAGCGTCGATAAAGGAGCGCCTTTTTGACCCTTTATTATTTGATAGACTGATCAAGAGCTATCGTATCACAGAGCGTTCTATGCAAACGACGCTGTAGTTTTTGAGTTATAAGAAAGTGACCATATTAACCGGATGACCATATCACCCTCACGTACTATAGTTCGTTTTTTTTATGTTGATTTTTCGAAATGTTGCTAATTATGGTCAAGGCTTGTTTGTTAGTTTTTTCTATATTAGTTATGGTATACGACATTGTGTATTTGTCTCTGTCCTCCTCCTAGTTTTGGTTTTATAAGGCGGCAAAGCTTAAGGTGACTATATTACCCTCACGTACCTTATAGATTATTTTTTATAATATTGTATGGATATTACTATGCTACGATAAGTTTTAACTACATTGAAACAAAATTATCTCGACCATAATAAATATTTAGGTAATTATATAGTATATGAATATACTCCACAAGTTAGGCACTTTTTTGTTAAAATATGTATTAATTGTGTGATAAAGATATCAGTAAATAAAATGTCTATAGGTAGTATGATTAGACAATATTCAAAATTGTTTCTAAAGCAATAACGACAAAAATGTCTTTCAGAACCGAAAATTGTACACTTGCGCGGACGCCATCTTTGAAGACAGGTAGATTTTTCTATTGTCCACTTTACGGATAAAGAAGTCAAGGGTCAGTTACCCCCAGTTAAGTCGCCCCCACCCCTAATCGGACACCTTATGTACGCAGATTACTGTCACCACAGTTGTCGTTTGAACTTACCCCGGATTAGGTGGGATACTTGACCTCGTGGAAATTATCTCTTAAAACAAAATTCACAAGTGAAAACTTTCTTATAATTTATGTCAATTTGATTTTTAAACATTTCAATATTAAATTTAATATATCTGTTGTTGATAGTGTTTAGTACCTAATTAACTGCTTGAATTTAGTTATAAGTGCTAAGTTTTGTGATGAAAATGACGGATGACGTTGATGACAGTCTGTGGAAACTGACGCAGTTCGTGAAGCGCTGGTGGGAAGATGACTATGGAAAGGTTTGTTAGGAAATATCTGTTAAAATGTAACAAGTTTTTAAATACAAAATATGTTAACTTTGATATACCTACTAAGGCTTTTTAAACCGTCTAATTTAACGATATCTTCACAAGCAGGTTACTTGTAAGTTTTGTTTCATTATAAATTCTTAGCAATAGAGAGATGTTACCTTTTCAAAAGTATTAAAAAGTATGTTTACTTAATATACTGCTTTCCTTTTCAAAGCAGTCCTCCGTTAAAGCGTATAAGTCATGGATAATCAGATTTATAGGTAATTTTCTCGCTCACTAAACATTTTAATACCATTAGATAACTTGCGAAAAATAAGCTAAAATTATATGTAGATATGATTTGTTCTGTCCTCGTTGACCACTCGCTCATTTGGTGACTTTTTTTATAGTATAAGGGTGACAAACGGGCACACAGTCCACCTGATGGTTAGTGGTTGCTGCGGCCCATAGATATCTACATTTATCCTCGATTACGAATCAAAATACAGATGCGTTGTCACCCGTGAGGACTAAGATGGAATGCCTCGTTTCCAGTAAAAAGAGTCTCGTGTAAGTGTACGTGAGTGCACCATACGAAACACAGCAGCATTAAGCTGCTATTTTACGTTGGTATTCTGTGAGAGCGTGGTCCTTCCCCGGTCGAGCCGACCCATTCGTGTTACAATTATACCATAAATATAGCTGCAGCATGGCTCTACCACGTATAATATGATAAACATAACTTTTTTACCTTCATCTTTATTTAATAAAATACAAAATTGATCTTATTAAGAACTAGATTATATTTTTATTTTTATTTTAGATTATATTAACATATTTAGTAAGTAGGTACCTAATTACAGGCGTCGAATTTAATTAGCTCAGAGTCGATATCGTAATTTATTCTTGAGATATTTGACGACTCCGAGGTGCAGTGGCTTAGCATTTCGCTGCAGCGTGGGTTCAAATACCACACGAAACTTTGTGTAACCTACAAATAATTTTTCCGGGTTTGGGTGCTTGCCCTGGAACAAATGGCACATTTATGAATTAAAAATGTATGTATGTAAGCCACCTCCACGATGCAGGAGAAAATCCTTATGTGGAGCAACGTTTTTTTAATAACAAATGATGACAAAGTTCATCCACGTATGTTTTTTTTATAGGATAAGGGTGACAAACGAGCACACAGTCCACCTGATGATAAGTGGTTGCTGTGGCCCATATACATCTACATCTATCCTCTATTACAAATCAAAATGCAGATGCGTTGTCACCCGTGAGGACTAAGATGGAATGCCTCATTTCCAGTAAAAAGGGCCTCCGGCCACCTGCACTCACCAAGCGAAACGCAGAGGTAAACCTCTACTTCACGCTGGTATTCTGTGAGGTCGTGGTACCACCCCGGTTCGAGCCGGCCCATCCGTGCGACAGCAAAAGCTGCCGCGTGGCTCTACCACTGTTAATGACTAAACACAAACGCACGAACATACTTACAAGCATGCACAAACACACAGAATCACTAACATCTTATTAATATTAAACAGTAAAATCGAAATATTGCGAACTTAAAATCAGACTCGAATTATGTTGTAATTTTCATTTCCAAAATATAGTTAAATATATATATATATATATATATATATATATATATATATATATATATATATATATATATATATATATATAATGAACATAACATTTGAAGCTGAAAATCAGAGCGTATTATATGCATCATATTATATAGGCAGCTGCCATATCTCACTGTGGTAAAAGTCTTCAATCTTTAAGCTTGTGTACTCATTTAGTATTCCAATAAAGCGTCAACGAATGTACCAAATAAGATCAATACTTGACCTAATCCAGTTATCCAATTATTAATAATACCATGAAGGAACCATGAGGTGCGTTAAGCCGAGATTAAGATAAGTCGCGCGAGAGCCGTACTGTGTCCACACTATATCATTACGGCTATTAAAGTTAAGCGGTCGCTCAGACTGGATAATTTCATGAGGCATCTAAATTGTATCAAAACTGATAATGGGAACTGTAGACAGATTATGGTGTCTCTGTAATAATGGACTAGTGTTTTGATCACTTATTATAAATGAGAGGAACATAAGCTTTCGCCGCCATCTTGTTTCTGGGTTGTTAATTGCGTCAAAAGCAATTGAAATGAATCGTTTGTAATTGAGAACATTTCATTAATTAGATTTAGACTTTCAAAGCTACTTTATCGCGGCAAATGTGCTCCATGATTTCGCAACAACCTTCGTTAGTCTGGAGTTGAGTCTGCACCTGTAGTCTTTTGAGAAACAATAGCTAGCCAGCCAGATATTGTTAATGTAAAAAAAAACTTTACATTTTATAACAATGAGCTGGTGACAAATGAGATAATAGTTTCACCTGATGGTAAGCTATACTGCCCCCCATGGACACTTGTAACCAACCTTAAATAAAACAGTTGCATTGCCGCTTTTGAAGAATGTGAAGCATACCATATTAGTATTCAGGATTGATCCTTAAGAACTAAAATCTCTAATATAGCCTTAGTATTCTCCTTAGAATTAGGGTGACAAACGAGCACACAGTCCACCTGATGGTAAGTGGTTGCTATGGCCGATAGACATCTGCATCTATCTTCGTTTGCGAATTAAAATGTAGATGCGTTTTTAGCCGTGAGGACTAAGATAGAATGCCTCTTTTCCAGTAAAAAGGGTCTCCGGTTCTCTACACTCACCATACGAAACACAGCAGCATTAAGCTGCTATTTTACGCTGGTATTCTGTGAGAGCGGGGTCCTTCCCCGGTCGAGCCGACCCATTCGTGCAACAACTATACTATTAATATAGCTGCAGCGTGGCTCTACCACGTAAAATATTATATACCATTGGAACACAGAAGTGAATGTATGTATTATATTGTGTGCTATTTAGAGAAAGAAATCAGTAAAACTGTCGCGAAGAGATAATTTGAAAATAGAATGTTTAACATGGCGGCATGTTTTCCCCGCGCTGTACCTATAGGTACCTAATGTTATTGTTAGTTTCAGTTACTAAAACCGTATACCGTTTATAATTTCATTCCAAAGACTAACGTCTAGGATTTTTATGTCCCATATTTGTATGGAAATGATAACAAAAAAGAATGTGCCAAAGGTGTTACTTGTCCGACATGTCGTAAATGGCGACAAATGGGATATTGGGCTTATGATTGCATAAGCGATGGCTAGGATTGGCTAGCAACGTATTATCATATTTCCATCTAGTTTCATCTCGCTGCTCCATGAACTTTGGCGTAATAATGTTAAGTTCTAACAAAATTGATGTCTGGCATAGTGCTCGTTTTGTTTTAATACTGTTCCCAGAACGCAAACTAAGCCGCACAACTGATCGTTTAGAACAAGCTATTTCTCTTGCTTAACACTGATTGATAATGTTAATAGCGCAATGTTAATTCAATTAATAGGCACACACAAAACACTGACCACCCACGCTGACATGATCCGCCATTGTTATAGGATTGACAAATACAAACATTGATATTCCCGCGACTTCATGCGCGTTGTTGTTTTTACGTACATTTTACTACCGGGAATAGCACTTTTGCCTCTTGTTTGCTTTTTGAGTTTTATTTTTAAAAAAAATTATTTTTGTTTAACGAAACATTGATTTTTTTTTATGCAACAAATTTACAAAGTTAGTAAGCATTTGTCTACAACACCCACGGAATCAAATGGTAAAGAAGTAAGGCGTGGAGTTTTGGTCATAAAATGACCGCTGGCGTATTGCTGTTCCGATCTAATTCTTACTATTATTCTTCTCGTTTAAATAAAAAAAGTTACCACCACACTAAGATGTTCTAAATATTGGAGTACTGCCAAAGTTACACATGGACATACATCCAGACTTGGAACCATTATTTGTAGGCCATACAACCACTTGTTCTGTGCGGGATTAGAACCCGCTACCCTCACCGCTTCGACTATGTTACCTATCAAATGGAAAACCCATAGAACTATCAAATCTTATTGTTTAAAATTTATTTAAGATCTATATGCACACCATGTAGAAAAAGGCGGCCTTACTCTTACTTAAAAATAATATTATCGTTTAAATAGTCGCTTAAATAGGATTTTCATTGGAAAAGTCGTACTACGACTACAATGAAAAAAAGTGTCCCGATTGCGGTGTACCTAACCCTCAAGTAACAGCCAAGGCGCCTCGAGAACACTTATCAACGTCTAAAATTACCATCATTTAATCCCTTGTAATTGTTTTGCAACAGGAGCTATGCTCTATATATATATATATTTATAAGCGAAATACCACTGACTGACTGACTGACTCATCACGATTAACTGAAAACCACACACCCTATCGACTTGAAATTTATTATAGTTACTCATTTCGCAATGTAGACGCTCATTAAGAACAGATTTTACGGTAGTCCTAAAAAAATTCTTGATATTTTATGTCTAGGTACGTTATTATCGTCTATTATGTTGCGCACAGCGAAGCGAACGAGTATCAGCTACCTAGTATTATCTAAATGCAAAATTTCATTCCGATTCCGATCCTTATTCTGTGATGTTAGTGCTGTTAGCCTATCTGATAGCTGTTTCCGAGAAAATATAATGTCAACTAGACTGATAAGAAAAATATCCAGTCATTTAGTAGAAAAATTTATCGCGTAATTTACAAGTTGAAATAACTCAGTAATAGTGATAGTAGGTACCTAATAACCTTTAGCATTGACGTTTCAATGATATTACGCCTTAGGCTTATACTTAAATGTAGACATTGTATACAGCATATTTTTCTTTTTCTTTTTTTTTTTTGTTGTTGCAAAACTAGAACTTAATATTAGTTTTTAAAGCACAACGTGAACTGGCTGAAGCTGGCAAAAGTTTCCCATAAGAAGCTCACTGCGACTCCCAGGCGCAAGTATAAAGCATTCATTAGGCAAAATGGCAACGCGTTTTTATCCTTCACAGTGTAAGAACCTGT